TTACATTACATTGCTTTACATTACATTACATTACATTACCTTACATACATACATACATTACATACATTACATACATTACATTACATTACATTACATTGCATACATGCATACATGCATTACATACATACATTCATGCAGGCATGCATGCATACCTACCTACCTACCTACCTACCTACCATACATACATACATGCATACATACATTACATTACATTACATTACAGTACAGTACAGTACCATTACATACATACATACATACATACATACATACATACATACATACATACATACATACATACATACATACATTACATACATACATACATACATACATACATACATACATTACATACATACATACACACATACATATTACATACATACATACATACATACATACATACATACATACATACATACATACATACATACATACATACGTTACATACATACATAATACATACATACATACATACATACATACATACATACATACATACATACACACATACATACATACATACATACATACATACATACATACATACATACATACATACATACATTACATACATACATACATACATACACATACATTACATTACATTACATTACATACATTACATTACATTACATTACATTACATTACATACATACATTACATTACATTACATTACATTACATTACAATACATACATACATACATACATACATACATACATACATACATACATACATACATACATACATACATACATACATACATACATACATACATACATACATACATACAAAGTTACATACAAAGTTACATACATACATACATTACATTACATTACATTACATTACATTACATTACATTACATTACATTACATTACATAGATACATTACATTACATACATACATTACATTACATGGCATTTGTCATTACACACATGCATACATGCAATACATACATACATGCATGCATGCATGCATGCATACATACATACATATACATACATACCTACCTACCTTACATACATACATACATACATACATACATACATACATACATACATACATACATTACATACATACATACATACATTACATTACATTACATTACCTTACCTTACATTACCTTACATTACATTACATTACATTACCTTACATTACATTACATTACATTACATTACATACATACACACATACATACATACATACATACATACATACATTACATACATACATACATACATACATACATACATACATACATACATGCATGCATACATACATACATACATACATACATACATACATACATACATGCATACATACATACATACATACATACATACATACGAGAGAGGGAGATTGGGGAGAGAGTGGCTTGGGGGGATGGGGAGGATGGGGAGCGGAGGGAGGGAGAGAGGACGACAGAACACACCAGGGAGACAAGGGAGAGAGGAAGAAGGAGAAAAGGGAGAGGACAATGTCGGCGGACTGAGCCGGAGGCTCTAAAGTATCATATATCATAAACACCAACCTGTCAAATTATTGCATGGCAACTGCTGTGAATCTGTCGCTTCATGGTTCCATTGCTCCCTCACCGTTGTGCCGCCTGAAGACGTTGCAACACACTGACACTCCCGCAGAAAACATTCTTTGCTCATCCGAGGCACACTCAGAACCTGGTACAAAAGGGGATTTCCAAAAGCAAAAATGAAAGACACGCTCTGTTGGGGGTTGCACTGTTCCCTACTAAAACTTTCGACCCGGGTTTTCATTTGAGCTCACCTTGGCGCTTTGACACACGCCGACGCTGGCCTCGCGCTTGATGCTGTCCTCTTGTTTCTTGGAAACCTGTCGGGGAGGCGACAAGGAAGTACACGGGCAACAAACAATCTGACAAGCTCAGGTCTCACATGGCCTTTAGAACCAACTGTTGTGTCTGCTGAAGCCGGGGCTGACCTGACAGCGGCCACCGGTCTTCTGGACTCAATCGGCTTGTTCTCTTGCAACGTGGACATCACCTGGGGTGCTCCAGACCAGTGCCATCGGCTTGTGCCCCGAAGATACGCGGTCGCTCATGGGTTCCATCAACTTGCTTAGCCATGAGGCATCCTCCTTGGCCCAACCTTTCCTGCTTGAGGATACATGCTTGACGCTGAGCATTTGGCCTTTGCCGTGGGAAAGCAAAGACCCCACTAAGTGGAGAAAGCCTATTGGCCCCGTGGAACCAACCCTCGGCCCCCAGAACCGCATAGAACCGCTCAAGGGTTTTGTCTGCTTATCCAAGGGAACAGAAGTTCAGCCAATGATCAACACCTGGTATCAAAGGAATTTGCCCCAAGCCACGGAAGAAATCAACAGGGCGGATATCTGCACCTGTTCACTGAAGGGGTTCCAAACAACTCTTCTTTGAATTCGCGCCATGAACACCTGGCGGCCGGGATTTCTGAGTCGCAACCCTGTCCACTTCAGACCGCATGCTGAATTCACTGGCAAGGCCTTTACTGCTTCTTAGAAAGATCGACTCGCGGGACTTTTCCAGACAAATTCCAGTGCGACATGCAAGTCAAGAGAGCAAGACATGTTCAGTGTAGACACTGTAGCCAGGGCCCAAAAGAAAAGCGTTTTCCCGCGGAAATGTTCTACTTTTTAAGCTGAAGCATTTTCATTGTTCTGTCTTCAATTAGCGAGACACTCGGTGCCAGGACAAATTCACTGCGCCTGCCAACCAATTTTGCGCGTAGAATCGATTTGCCACTGCGGAAGGCACGTGGTTTCTCCAGAGGGATCAGAGCCATCGCCACTTTTTAATGCAGTCTCAAAACGAGCTCCTGGTGCCACGCAGCTACTCATGCCATATCGGTCCGTCGCAGCTGCGTTCAGCACGGCGAGAGAAAAGGCGTGGGTGCAGCACTGAGCGGATGCGCGTGAGCGGGTGCACATGACGCAAGACGCGTCCGGGCGCCAAGTGGCTACAGCACGTTCTGTTTGCATACAAGCTTTGATTGAGGCTCACAAGAACAACAAGCTAACTTTGGGTGGTTGAAAGATGTTGAAAGGAAGAACAAAGAACCCAACAAGGGCAAACAGCTAAAAAGGTAAGCTAAGTCTTCCAACGCAAAGGTGTCTCCTGTGGATCCGTCTCCCACCTCCCACCTCGGGCTGCAGCAAATGTCCCGACTCCTGGTGCCAGCACCGCACCTCCGCGTCGATGGGGGCGGCAATTTTTGCAAATGTTTCCATCCTGTGAACATCACCTGGGTACGGGTCAAAAATCAACCACCAGGAACCGCAGGCTTTAGGCCTTGTTTCTATTTGCCAGGGCTCCATTTCTGGTACCTATTTTTGACCCACACCCACCTAAGTAAAAAGAAGCTCACTTTGAGATGCCCTAAACGCAAAAAACACACACAGTGCTTCTCCTTTGAAACAGCTCAACTTGTCAACGCAGGGTGCCAATTCCAAACATCACTTGTCCCGAGGACTCAGAAATCAGTGACCGCAAAACCTCGGAAACCACAAGCTGAGGCTGACATGTGGATGGTCTAAACTCCTGGAATCAGTCAGTGGGGATCGTTAAAACTTATATCTCACAACTCAGATATAAAAGGAATCCAAGGAAATGGGGGCCTGCGCTCGGTTTTGCCCCGAGCTCTTGTAAAGTCTGGCGCGTCCTTAGCCCTTCACAGGGTCATCGAGCCGACAGGCCTTGGAATCGGGGCTTGTCAAAAGGGAGTTCTTGAAGGGTTCCCTCTTAGGTGGCACAAGGCGGTGGGTCCAAAACAAAGATACTTCTGACATACAACTCTTCATAGTACCTGCCAGAAAAAAGGACCCGCCAACAACACCTCTTCCATTTCCACCAAGCTGCTGCCGCCCCAGCCCAGCATGTGTTTGAGAAGGTGTCAGTTTTCCGGCTCCCTTCGACGCCTTCTTTTTGCTGTCTAAACTCCCTTTCGTGCCACCTGGGTCCTCCAGAGAGAAAATTAGATAAGGGTTCGGTACCCCATTTGCTTTTTGGTAGTCTATTTTAGGGGACCCGAATCTCCCAACCAAAAAGGAAACGGTAAGAGGGGCACCTGGCTGGACCTAGCATCCCAACCCCGACAGCCACACCTTCCCGTCCACACCGCAGGAAATCAGCCGTCCCTGTGAGGCACACACCTAGGAAGCCAGGAGCAAACCGGACATAGGAGTCAAAAGCCCGGTTAGCCCCCAGTGAACATCCGATTCAATCCACCCACTACAATAGCTTGTAAAATGGGTGGTGAATTCACCTACCAACCAAAATGGGATCCCATTGGCTTTGACCCACAGCCAACTGCCTTCAGTGCTCCTTTTGGCTTCCCTTTTAACAACCCCACAAGGGTACTCACGACAACAAATCAAATGACTGTTCAATCTCGTTTCAAAGCTGATTGTAGCTGTAGCCGTATTGAGCATAGGAAGTTCAAACTCAGCTGACCCCAAATTCGATCTCGAGAAAAAGGACCCTGTTATCAAACCCCGAAACATGGAGTTCATTGTGAAAGGAACCTTCATTATCCTTCATTCTGGGAGAGGTTGTAAACCAACATTCTTCCTGACCTCGCAATTTGTGATTGAAACTTGCCCACATACTTTGGCCGAAAAAAGAAAAAAAACAGACCACTTCCTTACCTTGGAGCTGGTCCCCCTTGGGTGCGGGCAGAAGTGATAGCACCCCGGTGCGCCATCTGCGCCTCGTACGCGTATTCCCGCCTCAATGCCGGAAGCCCGTCCAATTCTCTGTGGTTTCACAACTAGGTCCTCCAGAAAAGAGGTTTCAATAAGGGTACCCAATTCTTTTCCGTCGTCTATTTTAGTAGGGGAACCCTTTCCCAAAAAAGGGGAGAGAAAGGCACTACTGTGGGACCTAGACAACTTAGGGCACCCTGAGTGTTGAGCTGGGGGGCTGGAACAACTGCCCAGCTTGTGGCTTTATTGTGGGAACGTTGAAGACTAGGCACTCGGCACCCTGCGCCAAACATGCTTATGGGTGAAAACAAGTGGTCTGCCCGGGTGTTTTGATATCGCAATGTTTGTCATAACTAGCGATAAACATAATAAAATGTCAGAAAGACAACATGGACCCCAAAACCGCTGGGCTTACACACTTCTTATTCTTGCTTCCGTATACCAAGGTCCCATTTTGGGGATTCCATTTTTAGAGCCACAGCCTCATCATTGTTGAACATGGTCGCACAACGACGTCGATGTGCCAAGTTTAAGCAGAGAGAGGGGGCCGCCACCGAAAAGGGAAAAGGAGTGCCACCCTGTCTAGTTTACGGGATACACCAAATATGTTGAACCCAGGGTCAAGTCCAAAAACCACACCGCTTGGCCGGGTCATCTCTTGACCACTGCACAAATGGGACTGTTTGCTTTATGCCCATAAGTTTCTGGGGGATGACACAACCATGTGTACTTTCACCCAACTGCAAGATGGAATCCCCCAAATTGGACCCCTCTTTGCTAGCTTCCTCGCGCGAGGGTGGTTGAGCTTCCAAACGAAGTTTTGTAGGAGAAAACCCCAAGCTACTGCTGTGGACAAAACGAATGGCTGGAAACAACGGCGAAGCAAGCCCCGCAAACCAAGACCAGCTGGAATATTCTGTTGCTGGGAATATGAATACCTCTAACGCTCCTGGTTGGATTGTTTTGTCCAAGGAAAACAAAGGGTAAACCTACAATCTTGTTGTCCCCCCGTTTCAGAAAACACAATTACAGGGATCCTCAAGCCTCACACAAAGAGGAATTGAACAGGTTTGAAGACGCGATGCCAAACATGGCTGTTCCTGAGGGTGTTGAAAGGGAACAAATCACCTTGCTCGTTGTTTGTAGTACAACGGCCATCCCGGAGAAGAACAAAAAACACTACAAACATGGAACCGCACGAAAGCAGGTGCCATTTCCTCTTTTCAACAAGGGAGGGTACCCGGCTGGGAAGATTTGGACAGATGGAACACCAGTCCGATCCTCTTTTGGCTTTGGAACCAACCTATCATAGCCAATACAAATCACCAGTGTGGGAAATCTAGGTCCTCCAGAGAGGGAGGGGGATCATTTTCGAACACCGATTTTGGATCATTTTCGAACACCGATGTCCTGGATCATTTTCGAAGACAGAGTGGGTCATTTTCGAAGACATGGGGGGCTATCCTGCGGCAGGTGGGGCAGTTACGTTTGCCTCTTACTGCGTGACCGTGCCACTGCGTCCTGGGGGTGGGGGTGGGGGTGGGGTGGGGCAGTTCCGTTCGCCTCTTACTGCGTGACCGTGCGACTGCATCCTGGGGCTGGGGGAAGGGGGTAATTGCGATCGCTGACTGCGTGACGGTGGAACTGCGTATTGGGGCTGGGGGGGGGGGTGGGGCGGGGCAGTTACGTTCGCCTCTTACTGCGTGCCCGTGCAACTGCGCCCTGGGACTGGGAAAAGGGGGCCCCGAGTCCCAAGTTACCTTGGCTTTTTCAGCTCAGATGTCCTCGGCGATTTGCGCTCGTTGGCCCCCGTAAAGCCGTAAAAACTCGGCCTAACGGCCGTAATAACTCGCGCGGGAAACTGAAAGGCCGTTACTACTCCGTGAAAAAGCCGTGAAAACTCGTGAAATTTCAAGCTCTGAGTTATCTTGTCCTCGCGACACAAAAACCTCCTTAGCTCATACGGCCTAAGTAACTTGCGAATCGGAGCCTCCTGGAATTGCGATCGCCGCTTACTGCGTGGCGGCGCAACTGCGTTTTGGGGCTGGGTGGGGGGTGGGGTGGGGCAGTTGCGTTTGCTTCTTGCTGCCTGACCGTGCGACTGCGTCCTGCGGCTGGGGGGGGGGATGGGGTGGGGCAGTTACGTTCGCCTCTTACTGCGTGACCGTGCGACTGCGCGCTGGTGGTGATGGTGGTGTTGTTGGTAGTGATGATGACGGTGTTGATGATGGTCATGGTGATGATGATGATGATGATGATGATGATGATGATGATGATGATGATGATGATGATTATGACGATGTTGATGATGCTGATGATGTTGTTGATGATGATGGTGATGTCGACGTTGATGTTGATAATGGTGATGATGTTGTTAATGATGATGATGGTGATGATGTTGATGTTGACGATGTTGAGGATGTTGATGTTGTTGGTGATGATGATGATGGTGATAATGATGGTGATTGATGGTGTTGTTGATGATGATGATGATATGGATGTTGGTGGTGATGTTGATGATGGCGATGAGGATGTTGGTGTTGACGTGGATGAAGGTGATGTTGCTGGTAGTGATGATGACGATGTTGATGATGATGATGATGGTGATGATGATGATGGTGATGGTGATGATGATGTTGACGATGTCGATGTTGATGATAATGATGATGATGATGACGATGATGATGTCGCTTTGCGTTCCTTGTGCTTTGTGTTCCCGGGTCTACAGTTGACGATTGTCTCCCAAAAGCACGGCGCCATCCATGTGCTACACGTGCATCGTGGTGCGTGTTCGTGCGCCTCATCGTGGTGTGCATGGACACTTGGAAAAATGGCCGTGCTGCTGTAAATCACATACACTTGAGGAAAACCGCGTTCAAAAACGAGCCAAAACACGCGTTCAAAAACGAGCCAAAACACGCGTTCAAAAACGACCACCTTCCCTGGGGAAATCTAGGTCCTCCAGAGAGGCTACAATAAGGGAACCATTTTTTTTTTTTCTGTAGTCTATTTTAGTAGGGGAACCCGGAGAGAAAGGCACTACTGGGGGACCTAGCCAGCGTGGACATGGATCCAGTCTTGGATTTCCCCACTAAAATAGACTAAAATGGGTGGTGCACCTCTCCCAAAACGGTACCATTCATTGGTTTTGAACCCTGGCCAAATGGATCCAGTCTTGGATTTCGGCGACCAATGGCCGCAGCCATAGGTGTCCTTTTGGGGCAAACAAATGGCCCTGGTAATTAGATGATTAAACCACCAGGTAGACCAGGAATCGCCATCAATTATCCGACCAGAACAACCAAAAAGGACACCTATGGCGACAGCTCTTTTCCCCTGCCTGGGTGGCCCGAAGACGTGGCGGCTCCGCAGCTCCGCCTCTTTGGTGAACTGCTCACGCGCCCTCCTGCGGGGAACAAACAGAAGTTTCGGGGGGGCTGATGCCAACAATCAGTGTCTTTTTCCTACGGGTTTTCCTTTTGGTTTCCCTTCAGTTTCTTTTCCTAGGGGTTTTCCCTTTGTCCTTTTGGCTTCGCTTCAGCATGAACCAAACAACTCTAGGGGTTGATTCCATTTCCATTCTGTTCAACCATCGCCCTTTTCAAAAAACCGATCGCCATTTTCCTGGGTTTCTGGAGGTTTCCTAGAAAGAAGGATCCCTGGGCAGAAATGGGAAAGGTAGCCCTAGCAACCTGGCCCGGCGCCGCGGCTGATGTTTCTCTGCAGCCAATTCCGGTGGGTTGGGTCCAACCCTCAACCTGGAACCGTTTTCGGGTCTCCCTGCTCAAAGTGTTTTTGTTTTTTTGTTAAGTACACACATAAATAAGTAAATAAACAAATAAATAAATTGTTTTAGTGGCCTCCACTAAATCCTAAAAGCCAACGACCTAAGAGGATGCCTGGGAATCTCCAAATTCGTTTGGGTACTCCACTGCAAATGAAAATGGAGCCCCGCAAAGGCACTAGAGCTGAGGCTTCTGTTTGGAAGCCCCGAGTTGCAAAGTCGTATCGATTTTGCTAAAATCCTGCCATGCGTCGAAGAGGCTTGTTGTGGAGAAGTCGCACCGATTTCCTTATTCAGTTTGTGATTTAGGTCTTATTCAGTTTGTGATTTAGGTTTCACCAAATGATAAAAAGTGTAATTATTTGTTGCAGCTTATTTCTCATTTAGGAAGTGAATTAGGTTTGAACAAAAAACACTCTTCGTGTTTGCTGTAGCCAGCGTCTATCATTTAGCGATTTTGCGGCTTAAACACAAATGCGTGCAGTTCGTGTGGTGTGTAGCAATTTTGTATCATTTAGGTTGTGATCTTAGCTTTGAACAAATGCCCGCAAATCATGTTGTTTGTAGCCATGTCGGATCGAATGTATGTGTGTGTCCCAATTAATTGTGTTTTGCCTGATCAACCCTCTGCGTGGATGGTGCGTGTCGGATCGCTCTCACTGTGGTGCCGTGCGAATTTGAGCAAACCGCTTGTGTCTAAGTTGATGTGACTTGATGTGACCCCCTCGCATCAACCAAAACTCATATGCATGGTTGGGATATCATCAAGTTGATGTGACATTGCCTTCCGGCCCACACAACAATGCCGAAGACTTGCTGAAGCTGGCTGCCAAAGCAGGTTTGGGTGGGCATAATGGTTCGAAAGCCATTGACGACAGGGTTCTACTTGTTGTGCCAAGGTCAAACACCTTGGTTTCCTTGGCTTAGGCAAACGCTCCAAGGAGTTCTGACACTAAACGGGCAAACGCAAACTTTGGACACCAAACTACGGGGTTTATGCGGAGACCTCGATTCTCTTTCTCCCAAACCGGGTACCTGAAAGACCGCAGATCCACAGGGCTCTGAGTCAGCTTTCCCTCCAAATACCGTGGCTGGCTTCTTTTCTCTCCAGTGCATTGCCATGGAAAGCGGGCACCCGTGTTTGGTCCTTGATCTTGAAGGGAATCTCGGAAAAACCAAGGGAACCAGTGCACAGGCCTGGGCTTTGAACAGGCCCTGAAGAATTCGATTTGCGATCCCCGGGGCCGGGAAACATTGACACGACCCACACGGCCAGAGCTATAGCAAAGCCGCTTCTGTTTCAACTTCCACAGACTAGAAACTCCAACTGGGCTGCCCTCAGATCCCCCGCTACAAGTTTAACCTCTAGTGGGTCAAATGGAAACTACCACTAAGCACTAAAAGGATCTAAAAAGCTAAGTTGAACCGGATGGCAGCCAACCATCCCCCCCCCTTCAAACAAGTCTTCCAGTCGGCAAGCCTCACCCCGTCTGGCTCGGACTTGCCGGTATCCGCCGGCTCCAAGTCCAGGAGGCCTCAAGCGCAAAGTGAGGGCATCATCAAAACCCGGGTAGATGAAGGTTAGTAAGGGACGATCCCGGCCAGAAATAGTTGCCGCCTTCTTAATTCTTTACATGGTTCTAGGTCGACCATTTTTGTACCAGGTTTTGATTATGACTCAAAGTGAGGGCGTACAACCTGGAAGCCTTCCTTGTTGGGGAAGTTGAAATTTGCGGATCCGGAGAAAAATCGGAAAAAAACAACAACACACACACACACACAAAGACCCCTAGACCAGACCCCAAAGCAGGGCTGATCGCCCATCACCCACTTTGCTTGCTCTTTATTCCAGGTTTACCCTTCAGAACTTCAGGGAAATTGTCCAAGGGTGTGGTGGAACAACTTTTGACCAGAAAAACACGAGGATCAAGCAGCTTAAACATGTTAACATGCGCTAGGCGAGTGCTTCAAAAATATGGGTAAGTCATCATTCTTCGAAAAGGGGATCCCTGAAAAAGCAATCTTCATTGGTGAGCCCGCACGCCCCTTGGGTAAGGTCGCCGTAACTTGCGCGAATGGAGTCCTTTCAACTAGTAATGTGATAACACACATATATATATATATATATATATATACATACACATTGTAGTAACATAGCAATCAAGACCGCACTTGCCGAGTCTCAACAAAACGGCGGAAGCTCAATGGTTCAAAATCGAACTCCAAACTGCAGGGGTTCTGTTGCAATTATCCAGTTCGCACAACAAGAGCAAGGGGGCGCTTTCTGAGGGTACCTGCTTTGGATTCGTTCCCATTGGGAACCACAGAAAAACGGCAAAGTCGACATCTGGGAGGCGGGCTATTCGATGTTGCAACCACCTTTATTTCTGGGCCAACAAGTGTTCCAGGTTCGGATTCTCTTGCAAGCTTGGGACGTTCTTTTTGCCAACTCATAGGGCAGCGGGGCCCTGAAAGAGGTGCCTTCGAACTGCCACTGATTGCTTCCAGGCACACGCGTCTTGGAGGCTACCCTGGGGTGGGCCTCCAGGAAAGATCCACAACCCCAACCAAGACCGATGCGACCCGACCGTTCCCAGCTGAGCTGCTGCCGCCCCCGGCCATGTGTTGTACAGAGCCCTCCTCGAAGCGGCGGTGCGTGCCCAGCACGCTCCGCATGGACCTCCACCGATTTGGGTCGTGCGAATGGGCCGCCAAGATGCCGGGGTTGACCTTCTGATCGAGTGGATTGGCTAGGAAAGCAGGGAGTGAGTTTACATAATAAACATTTGGCTTTTCGTTGAACCTTCGCCACCACACACACCTTCCACTCGCAATCAAAACCATTGATCTGGGAAAAGTACAACTTACCACAACTCACCACAACTCACAAAGCTGGCTTCCATTTGGTTAAGACCTCTGGAAAAGTAAAAATATGTCCAGTAGTGATAGATTCCCTTTAAAACCAACAGGGGGAAAAAAACAACTTAAGCAAATGAAAGCTGAAATGAGATACCCCCAGGTGAAGGACCTTCATCACGGGGCCCGAACTTGGTTTACCCACGGGTTAGCTGGTTATCATTTGTCCACTCACAATTTTCCTCAGCGGAGGGGGGGGGGTCCTACTGAAGCATCCTATACCTGTCCATGCAACAAGAGCAGCTGGTCCCTGGACTTGCTTGTCCTCAAGTGGAGCATCCTCACTGTCCGACCGTAGTGCTTCTTGGCTTGACCCACTCAAGACTCACCAGGTTGCCAGGTCGTTTCCATTTTAACCAACCCGCCAAGGAAACCTACTCAAGACCCACCAGGTTGCCAGGTCGCTTCCGTTTCAACCGACCCAGAAAGGAAGGTTGCCAGGTTCCTTCCTTTAGCCAACCCACCAAAAGCCTACCCACGGAAAGTGGGCCTAAAGCCAACAACTCGCGGGGCCCCACCTGAATCGGTAGGGCTCAATCCTGGCCACCTTGTGCTCGAGCTCCTCGAACCAAGCCAAAGCATCAAGTCGCAGACTTGGAGACAGGCCCCTTCGGAGCATTCGACGGGCCGAACATGTGATACGTGAGCCGGACAGGGACACGCAAGGACTGCCAAGAAGAACTGCTCCATGATGGGGCGTTGAGCCCTGGAAATATGTTTTGGTAGTAGGGTCTCGTTCCAGTCCCCGGACTTGAACAGGTTGGTCTGGCTTTGACTCAAACATTGGAACCCTCCATGCAGGTGGCTTCCTTTTGGTTTCCCTTTCAATCAACCAAGAAGGGCACCCTCAAACAAACAACACATCCATGTTCTATGTTTTCACCCGTCTTTCTGTTGAGGATGCGTTCCCTCGCGCAGCCATCACTCAAGAAGTTGCAACACACGTCACACATTTAGGTTAGCACCCAGACAAAGCCAAAAGATGCCAGGTCCATCAAAACGACATAACAAGAAGCCACAAAGCCACCCCGCTCCCCAGACGAAAGGGGTGCGTCCTTCTCACATAAAACGCCTTTGATGGGCCCTCGGCCCCTTCCCCGCGGCCGTCCTGCGCCAGTTGCTCTTTGGGCGCCGAGCGCTTCAGGGGCCGTTCCCCTGACACATGCGGCGCTCCAAAACGCCCGCGATCTAGCGACACGCTCGAGCACAGGAACACGGGGGCTTCATACTTTGCGCAAGGTGTTGGTTCTTCCGCCTGGCCTTTCGGAATCTTGCGGCCGACGTTTCCAGTCAACAAGGTTGCCAAGCGAGTTTCGGCTGAACCGAGGGGTGCGTTGTGTGAAGTGATTGAAAACGGAACGCATGGAATTCCAGGGTTTAAGCCTTGAACTCTGCATAACCTTCTCATTGTGGGTTTCCGCAGGTCCTCTTGAACCCTTGCAACCTCGGACTTGACCCTTAGTATACAGTTGTGGCAACTGATGTGCACGCCCTGCCCAGTTCCAAGCACTCCCCTACAAATTCATCTGCACCCCCTTCAACGTGGCCCATGTCCCAAAAGGAGTTTCCCCCTACCAATGACTCCATGCTCATTTTCTTGCCGGGCTCCTGCTCCTCTCTCGTCTGCCTTTGGGTTCCTTGCCTCAAGCCGTGGGGGAGCGGCTCCCACCCGTGGCACGGCCTGGGATGGATTTTTGCCTGGCCTTCGTGGGCGTAGGGATCGCAGAGGAAGAGGCTGCGGGCGCCCATGCGGCAGTCCCAGGCCCGCAAGGTGCCATCCTGGCGCAAACGGACTTTGATGGCCGCGTCGTGTTCTTCTTCTGATTTTTGGGGGGTACCCCCGTGTTCAGGTGAAGGGATTTTCAAAAGGATCGATCCACTTTGGTGGACTCTTTTGTTGGAGGGGTACCCCGTGTTCAGGTTTTGAAGGGAAACCAAAAGGACAAGATATTAATATATATATATATACAAACGTGTCTCTTTGTTTTTGGGGGTACCCTTTTTCGGGATTTCACCGGCAAGCAAAAGGACAACCCACGCATTTTGTAGGGTCCCTTGTTTTGAGAAACACCCGTATTATTGGTATGGGATGCGGAAATTAAGAAACAACGATTCTTGTTCATGTGGGAACCGTTGCGCATCATGTTTGTTGGGCCGGGGTGAAGATGATGTCTTTGACTGATTCGAGCTTGGCCATGCAGCAACCCCTGTGTTCGCGAAACAAGAACCAGACCTGGTTAATGGAAACAAGGACAAAAACCAGCGCTTTGCCCCAGCTGTTTAACTTTGAGCCACACCCATATTTGGAGAACCCACCAAACAAGAAAAGTCCCGAACGGGAAGTCCGTCAACCGATTGGCCTAGCCCTGGAACAAGGCTCCCTATGAAAAGGGAGCCTCCTGAGGCGGCACAAACAAATTCCGAGGTGAGTGTTCCAACTCCCGAGATTCGTGAATCGTTGCCCGGCCTACAAACATAGACATAGTGCACCTGTCGGAGGCTACCTGCAAAAACAAACAAGTCAATTTCTTCCAGCTGGCACTCGCTGTCAGGTGCCGTGTTCGAGAGACACAAACTGAGTGTCTTTTTGCAGAGGATGCAATTCCCAAAGTTCCCTTCCAAAAGGCCACCTAGAGGTTGAGCCCTCCAGTACATCACATAGACATTCACACACACCGGCATGCTTCTGAAAATAGCAACCAGAAACATCATGATCCCACCACACTGCAGTACGTAGATCGTAGATATGAGATATGATACTAAAATCAGGAGTACATCTAGCAAACCCTCTGTGTTTGAGGAGCCCATGCCCCGTTTTTTGTGGCAGGCCATGGGTGTCGCTCGACTCCCGGCTAGGCATCCAGCCATGCCGCCGGAGAAGAGATGCTTCTCCCCCCACACCGCACACCTTGGTGCGGCAAGGGGAAGACATGGCCATGGGTCAAAGCTCGGCTAGTTAGCCCCCCAGTGAACATCCCAATCCAACCACTAGAATCCCGACTAAAATGGGTGATGACTTAACCTATCCCAAAATGGTACCATTGGTTTTGGCCCACAGCCACATAGAGGGAGTGTCGCTCCTGAAGACAAAGACAACACGCCACGAAGAGACTTGAGGGACTATAGGGAGTGAGAAAAAGCGCCAGTTGCTGATGCTGAAGCTTCACGATCTGCAAGATACCAAAAAGTGAACAGCAAAAGTTGATACCATCTTTTCGCCGTTGTGGAGGTGACGCGGAAAGAGGCACTAGAAACCTCACAGTCACCTGTTCCAAGTACCTCAGAAGCAAAGGCCAGGCTGGGCATGAGGCAGATGGCCAACAGGCATCTAACGATGAACAGATCGACGCACCAGGAAGGCAGCACTGCTCGATCGGGTGTCAAAGCTGGACGCCAAAGGAGAATGACAGTGGCAACTAGCATCCCGAAAATTGAGAATTCACGCAATTTCACGCATCTAGCGAAGATCTCCCCCCGGCCAAACATCACCCCAACAACGCTTCCTGCAGCAGTGCCATGCTTGGAATTTGTTTCTGTGGTAGATGTTCTCACCTGTTCTTTGCTTCAACTTAGTCATGAGTATGTGACTGATGTGACATGTATCCAAAGTCTCCCCCAAGGCAAAAGCGCGTGCGGCTTACCGGGTTGCCACTTCAACCCGCGGGACTAGGTTTGCGGCTGCCACACGCCCTACAGGATTCCATCGGATACAGGCAGCCTGTCTATACTCCTCAGGGATACTTAAGCTACCTGGCCCGAACCAACAAAACCGGAGTGCACTCGGGCGCGAAGACGGCGCTTCTGGCGCTGGCGGGCAACTTGCCGCAGTTTGGATCACCGAACCTTGCGCATCAGGCGCCAAGAGGGGTTCTCCCATCGGGCGCCCGCGCAGGGGCGGCTTGGTGTGGCCCTGCAGCGTGTTCACCGCGCGGCCCGAGCGCAGATCCACCAGCCGCAGCGTCAGGTCTTCCAAGGCCGCTGCCACCTGCAAGGTCCCGGGCCTGTTGTGGGGTGATAAGGAAACCCAAAAAAGACCGAAGCCCATTTCGGGAATTGGCTCCCCAATCTTAAGGGAAACCCTTCTGAACCTTCTAAATGATTGGTTTTCTCTTCGAAACCCAACCAAAAGAGGGTTCCACAAAGGACACACAGTCGAAGCCAATTTTGGCTTAGGAGTGGGTGTTATGAAGTGGAACCCGCATGGTGGGAAGAACGAACTGGAGCCCAGAAGGCTTTGCCAATCGGAGCCCACAAAATGTATACTTCTTTTAAACATAATTAACTAACTACCTACCTACCTAACTAACTAAACAATAACTAGATAAATGAAGACCTTTGAAGCAACCCAATAGCGGGGTATCCTGACAAACCACAATCTGTCCAGCTTTCATTCAACCATTTCCGCACCAAAGAAGCTCTTTCTTTGACATTGGCAACCAAAAGGTACTTTGGAGCCTGCCTGGTGTCCGATTTGATCATAATTTGGCTTTGCAGCCACCGCATTCTCATTCTCGTGTATCGAGGGTCTGGCTTTCCTGTTTGGTTTTCCTCTAAAAACCACGAACAAAGGGTTCCCTCAAAAAACGACACACCCATTTTGGTTTGTGGGTCGCTGTGGGTCTGTCTACTGGTGGACCCACCAAACACCAGGGCAAAAACACTTGGTTGCTGCTGACCTCTCTGCAAAAAGCTTATTTTTTGGTGTGTCCCGCTGGATAATCCGATCGTTTCCACCAAAACGTTGAAGTCCAAAGATCCGTTACCCAAATACATCACGAAAGGTTCCGGTCCCCCCGCCAAAAACACCACCACCGCCGCCGCCGCCGCCGCGACCGCCACAACCACCACCACCACCACCACCACCGCCACAGCCAACCAACGCCACCGCCACCGCCACCGCCACCGCCACCGCCACCGCCACCGCCACCACCACAACCACAACCACAACCACAACCACAACCACAACCACAACCACAACAACAACAACACAACCACAACCACAACCACAACCACAACCACAACCACAACCACAACCACAACAAGAACAAGAACAAGAACAAGAACAAGAACAAGAACAAGAACAAGAACAAGAACAACAACATCAACATCAACAACAACAACAACAACAACAACAACAACAACAACAACAACAACAACAACAACAACAACAACAACAACAACAACAACAACAACAACAACAACAACAACCACAACCACCACAACCACCACAACCACCACAACCACCACAACCACCAACCACCAACCACCAACCACCAACCAACACCCAACAACCAACAACCAACAACCAACAACCAACAAACCAACAAACCAACAAACCAACAAACCAACACACCAGCAAACCAACAAACCAACAAACCAACAAACCAACAAACCAACAAACCAACAAACCAACACACCAACAAACCAACACACCAGCAAACCAACAAACCAACAAACCAACAAACCAACAAACCAACAAACCAACAAACCAACAAACCAACCAACCAACCAACCAACAAACCAACAAACCAACAAACCAACAAACCAACAAACCAACAAACCAACAAACCAACAAACCAACCAACCAACCAACCAACCAACCAACCAACCAACCAACCAACCAACCAACCAACCAACCAACCAACCAACAACAACCCCAACAACCCCAACAACCCCAGCAACCCCAGCAACCCCAGCAACCCCAGCAACCCCAACAACCCCAACAACCCCAACAACCCCAACAACCCCAACAACCCCAACAACCCCAACAACCCAGCAACAACCCAGCAACAACCCAGCAACAACCACAACAACCACAACAACCACAACAACCACAACAACTACAACAACCACAACAACCACAACAACCACAACAGCCACAACAGCCAAAACAACCAAGACAGCCAAAACAAGACAACCACAACAACCACAACCACCACAAACCACCACCGCCACCACCACCGCCGCCACCACCACCACCACCGCCACCACCACCACCACCACAACCACAACAACCCCAACCACCACCACAACAACCACAACAACCACGACAACCACAACATCCACAACAACCACAACAACCACAACAACCACAGCAACCACAACAACCACAACCACCACAACCACCACAACCACCACAACCACCCCAACCACCCCAACCACCCCAACCCCCCCAACCACCCCAACCTTCGCAACCACCCCAACCACCACAACCACCACCACCACAACCACCACAACCACCACCACCACCACAACCACAACCACAACCACAACCACCACAACCACAACAACCACAACAACCACAACCACAACCACAACCACAACCACAACCACAACCACCACAACCACAACCACAACCACACCCACACCCACACCCACACCCACACCCACACCCACACCCACACCCACAACCACCACCACAACCACCACCACCACAACAACCACAACCACAACCACAACAACAACAGCAACAGCAACAGCAGCAACAGCAGCAACAGCAGCAACAGCAGCAACAGCAGCAGCAGCAGCAGCAACAGCAGCAGCAGCAGCAACAGCAACAGCAACAGCAACAGCAACAGCAACAGCAACAGCAACAGCAACAGCAACAGCAACAGCAGCAGCAGCAGCAGCAACAGCAACAGCAACAGCAACAGCAACAGCAGCAACAGCAGCAGCAGCAGCAGCAGCAGCAGCAGCAGCACACAACAAAGGGAAAACAACAAACACTGACAAACACCTCCGCCCCCCTCGAAAAAGATTGTTTTGCGCCTGCGCGGTTCCGCTCATGGCCAGGCCCTTGATGGCGCTGTGAAGGTCCAGGCTCAGCACCGAGCTCAGCTCGGAGGCCTCAAATCTGAGTCTGGCGGTACGTCTCCCAGGGACTAATGAACATCCCCTATACATAAACAGAACAGGACACCTGAGCGTGCGCAGTTCTTTGCTTTTTCCCTCCGATACGTTTGACACTTTTCCCAAGAACACAAAACACCTCGAGAAAACCAAAACACAAGCAAACACAAACGACAAAAAACACCAAACAAAAAACAGGACTATGGCACATGTCTTGGCTTGGAGGCGGGGGGGTAGTCTTGCTGCTGTTTGGATTTCTCGAGGTTCTTCACACTTTTCCCAAAAACACAAAAACCCTCGAGAAAACAAAAAAACAAGACTATGTGGCTTGGGGGGGTAGTCTTGTTTTGTTGGTTTTCTCAAGGTGTTTTGCTATTGTTTGGAAAAGTGCGAAAAAACCTCAAGAAAACTAACAAAAATAAGACTCTGTCAGCTGTCCTGACTTGAGGGGACAGAATATGTTTTTGCTTGGTTGTCTCTAGTTGTTTTGTGTACTTTACCGCTTCCGGCCTGTTTGAAAGAGCTTCTGTGATCAAGTGCGCTGATGTAGCTCACATCCAAGCCCTAGTATAGTAAGCTAGAGATGGTTTCCTTTGGTTGGACTCGTTCCTTATTACATTCTTCTTAATTGTAACTAGAATTATACAAGTAGAACTTGATATATATATATATATAAAGTAGAGATTATCAGAAAGAGGTTAGAGATCCCACAATTGATAAGCTGCTCAAATGCCTACTGATCTGCAAAGACAATTCTATTGGACTGGAAAGCCTGTGTATCATCCATTTTGAAATAGAAACACATTGTTATAAGTTCTACTTTAAACCACAACTTTTGTTTGGATTATTGCATGATTAAACTATATTCAATGTGAGATAGGAATCCGGAGGGAAAGAACTTGATACAGGTTCCGAACATGTTTAATACATGTTGTTTAGACGCTTACTGATACAACTATACAATTTGATTGGGATCTGTCCTTGATAATTTCTAGTTAATTTCAGTTAGACATTGGGAATAATTTGGTAACGCTATTAAGTAGATTTCAGAAGAAGAGAATTCAGAGATATTAGAGAAGTGTTCTTTGTGTTTACTAGCCCAGAACTACCATGGTCGAAAACACCGTAAAACACAGTGGTTTGTAGCGTTTTTTCGTACTCAATTCACATCTCCACCAACGGCCGCTGTCCAAGATTCAGTTTGAATTTGAATAGGATTTCAATAGGACTCAATAAGGACATACTTGATCATAATCCTACTGGGAATTACATCTTACATTTAAAATTTAGATGTAAATCCTTTCCCAATAGAACACTGCAACTGAAGTAGAGTTTAGAAGTAACTTGATAAGGAATGAATCCAATCACAACTTCTGTTTCATAATAGGATTTGAATCGGAATAAGTCTATCTTAATTAATAGTTTACACAGTATGTGTTTCCAACCAGATTTCGTTACAATTCAGCTGACATTTAAACACACACAAACTCGAGTTTCCACTCAAAATGTGAAAACAGCGCACGCTCACAGCGTCCCGCTCTCTGAATAAACCCCTGTTTATAGAAATATATACATATATGGTTTATTAATATGGTTTATTGCTATGATTTATTAATATGGTTTATTAATATGGGGGTGTCCCTGGTTTGAGTGGGGATGGTTCACTTTTAAAGCGGAACACCCCCCTAGTATAGTAATCAACCAGGGGTTGATTAATCCGGGGTTAACAGTAACATGGAAGCTCCCACCCTGAAATGGAGGACTTGCATCCATTTACGCAGGCTTGGCAGCTTACATGTAAGTTTGAGGGAGTGGCCGGTGTCCATTTGCTTTCCCTTGATTCGCGATGCTTGGACCAACCCCAAAAGCAACCGACCGTTCTTCGGTTTGCTTTATCGGGAAGGCAAACGGAAGGTCAGCATTATCAAACATGAGTATCTTTCTTTGAGGGTACTCTTTCCCCAGATAGCTGAAAGCTATAGGGGTTCTAACTTCTCATAAAGAGGGGAAAGTGATTTGTGAGATTGATGGGCTGGTGCTGGGGCGCGTGCAGTTTGGGGTGCTGGTGTAGGTGCTGATTGGGGTGCTGTTTGAGGTGCTGATGGCAGTGCGGGCGCATCTTTTCAAGATTGACGGTAGGGTGCTAGGGAGCATGCAGTTTGGGGTGCTTTTGCAGGTGCTGTTTTGGGGGGTGACGGGACACGCGTATTTTTGCATCTTGACGGCAGGACGGAGGGGGGAATACAGTTTGGGGCGCTGGTGCTGATGGTGCTGTGGGACGCAGTCTGTTTGAGGTGCTGGTGACGGTGCGGGCGCGTTTTTGCAATATTGACGCTCGGGTGCTATCGGGCATGCAGGTGACGGTGCAGGCGCATGTTTGCATCTTGACGGTAGGGTGCAAGGGGGGCACGCAGCTACGGTGGTGGTTTGGTGCTGTTTGGGGCGCTGGTTGATTTTCGCAAGACTGACGGCTGGGTGTCTTGGGGGGTGCTGTTTGGGGTGCTCTTCAGGGTGATGGGTGCGGGCGCAGTTTTGCTCGATCGACGGCCGGGTATTGCTTGGGGCGTTCTTCGGGGGGTGCTTTTGAAGGTGCTGGTGTGCAAGCACTGCTATCTGGGGTCTATGCTGGTGTAATTGTTTCTTCTCAAAGGAAACCCAAAAGGATCCTGGATGGGTCCCCTTAAAAAAAACAAAACAGACCCACATGCCAAAACCAGTCTGGGCCACCAGCGTCCCACACTTTCAGAAGTCCTTCTGCACCGCCGGAGGCGAATAGGCGATTGTCCTGGCCGCTGGCCGCGAAAGGCGGCGCCAGGACCAAGCAAGCGCAGCTTGACGAGGCGGAACCTATCTGGGCCGTCCCTTTTCAGATCCCCTGCTATCCTGCAATCTGTGAGTAACCGGCACCGCCTGCAAAGACACACGGGACTTATCACGATCGTGGTGTTGGTTGTAAAGGCTCCTGGACCCCCAAAAACAAGAGCAAACAAACAAAGAGCAAGGGTGCTATGGCACAGTTGGGAAGTATTTGTCCCGCAATCCCAGGCCGCGCTTTGCTCCCACCAACTTCAGTCTGTGTGCATTCTGCACGCAAGGGTCGGCAAATACACGTTTTCATCATCATTCCGTCTTCCTTTTAGCAAACCACCCTTACACAAAACTTTTGCGAGCAAAACAAACTTTCGCGAGCAAAACAAACTTTCACGACCTCCATTGCGCAGCTTTCGCGGAGGGCAACGCTAAGACAAAGAGGTCTCCCCTTCACACCTGAACACAAGGATCTTCCGGACGACTCCCATACGTTACTGACCCCACACCCAACCCACCCGCTCCTGTGGCAGCCAAGCCAGGCCTTGCACGGCATCTCGGTGGCCCACTGCCTATCGAGTCGCGGCTCCACCCAGGCTTTGACTTTCTTGACTCAAGCTGGGTTTGAAGATGCCTGGTTTAGGCTGTCGATGTTGGCCCTGAGGGTTCTCTCGAACAGCAATCGGGTGCCAGGAGGGGTCCGCACCACGAGTCAGAACAGCGCGCACTGGACGGTCTTTCCATTGAAAGGGGGAAGCAATACCTTTTGCGCAGATGCCAACAAAGAAACTGGAGGAAAGGTGGAGAAACGCATAGCATAGCGCGCCAGGGCAACCTGCGCAGCACATTGTGCTTTTACTTTGGGTTTCTTTATCCTGCAAATCCACATACTATCATGCTGAGTGCAAACACATGGCACCGAGCATGAACAAGGCTCCCTATGATTCTCCATCAAACATCACCACTCTGAAAGACATTTGTGATGATACACACACCATCGTGCCTCAGGTGCGGCCGAGCCGTCTGCCTCGTCCTGCGGAGCCAGATCGGAATGGTGTCGCTTCTCCGGGGGATATGCGCCCGCCAAAATTTCAAAATGAAACAAATATTTTCACTATTCATTTAAAGACGCGGCCTGGATCTAAGAAGCCTGGTATGTCGGTTTTCCAGTTGGTTCCCTGTAGTCGTTTCCCCTGATGCTGGCAACTTACGCAAGCTGGGATCCGAAGAATACAGATTTGCCCAAAACACCGCGTCGCGTCGTCACCTGCAGGCAGCGGTGAGCTTGATGGAACACCCTCCATGCTTGCCGGACAAGACATCAACCAGGTCACGTCCAGCAGATACACATACCTGGACCCACCGTGGGTCCTCAAAAGAGTCAGCTGACGGAAATTTGTGGCACAGACGGACATTTCCATGCTTTAGGAAGGTCCAGGTATTCTGGGTTGGCCAAAAAATTTTGGGGGCTGCGTAGATGGAAACCCAGGGGCCACCTTCTTGGAGGGCACTTTTCTCGAGGTCGCTTGGCTCGGAAGGAAACGCCTTCCATTTAGAGGGGCCCAAGCTTCAACAAGACACACCCAATTGGGCGTGGCTCAAAATTAAGCAGGAGGGGCAAACCGCAGGTTTTGGTCCATGTTTCCACTTACTGATCGGGCAACCCATTTTGGAATTCCAGATTTTTTGAGCCACACCCAATTCAGACCACGCGTCCCTTCTCCGGTGGCGACCCTTCGCCGCCTTCAGTACCACAGCTGTGGGCTGCTCCAAGTGCCGCAGGTCTGAGACCGCCACTGAGCCATCCTGGCCGCCCGTGAGCACCTGAGATCAGAACGATCGAAGGGCTCAAACGTGAGCCAAGGTCATAGGGTTCCCATGTGAAGGGCTGAATTGTACACCTTTCGGTCCTGTGGATGGACGAAATCCGTTCGCACCACTTTGAAACCATGCAAAAACCATTGTTTGTTGGTATTTACAGGGGAATCATCATTCCAGGGTTTCTTAGGTGGTGCGAACAGATTTCGCATCCATCCACAGTATGACTTCACTTGGTTTGAAAGGAACCTTCTTCTTAGACTTCAATCCAGCGGTTGCCCAAGGCCCCAAGGATGCCTTTTTTTTCCACCCAGCCCGAAAGATGTGTAGTTTTTCTTTGAGGGGCCCGGGGGACGGTTCAGTTGTTCGTGCCGGATAGAGGCAGCCCTTTTGAAGAATCCAGGCCTCACTTTCTGAGCGATATGAGCCGGCTAGAACGCAGCAATGCAAACTTTATAGCTACCATGAAACCACTCTCCCTTGTGTGGCCTCAACCGCTGCGACCAACTCGAACATTTCGAAATCATGCGCAACTCTATAATGCGTCATCATGCGTCATCGCAGGCTTGCGTACACGAGCCTAAGCCCCAACCTAAATTGCCTACGCGAACGTGATGCAGTTAACCTTGATCTCGGGAGAAAAACAACTGCTTATGTGGACACTCTCCATGAGGGCCCCCCTCAAAGGACAAAGCAGAAAAACAAAGAAGACAAAAAAGCGAGGAAAAAAAACAAAACACGCTCAGCGCCCCTACGTTTACTCGTGCCCCACGCCCGCTCCGAGCCCCGACCCCCCCCCTCCAACCTCAACTGTCAGCCCCCGAAACCCAACGCCCAACTTAGCCAGTTAAGTGGTGATGTCGCCCGAAACCCGAACCCCGTGTTGGCCCATCCCGGAAGCCCGAAACTCTCCACCGCAAACAGTCAGTGGTGTTGGTGCCAGGAACCTCGAACCTAAACTATATATAAGAGTAGCAATTAGGAGCCCCCAATCCAAGTGGTTGACTCAAAGTGCCACCGTGGAACGCAGTAAATGAGGCCGCCAAAGCAGCCCTGTCCTGGTCCTCCAAGACGGTCGTAACCCAGTAGCCCGAGGACACATAATTTTACGGCAAGCGAGGCTGTGCAGAAGGGGGGCAGCTTTGAAGGGGCAGAAAGTATCGCCCCTGTCGCACTTTCAGACCCCCTTGGTCCCAAAACCTCACAAACACCCGCCCCTTGCGGCCGGTGGGCGAACGTGGGGTGCTGTGGGAAAAGATATAATCATCGGCTCCCCTTCGGTGCTTTGAAAAAAGACAGCAAGTAGGCAAAGCATGTTGTGCCCATTTGGTCTGTGAGAACCAAGCCAAACGGAGCTTCCCAAAAGAACATGTCCACGACCGGTCTGAGGTCTGCCTGGGCATCCCCACATGGCGCTTGGCAATGGCGATGCGGCAAATGGGCTCCGAGCCCTGGGCGAAGGCGAAACGAAAAACCAAGCTTGGGTGCTGTAGATCCCCCAGCAAAACGTTTAACATTTTGCTGGTTAAAGTTGGAAATATGAGGAGAATCCAAAAAGTCAAAAGTCTAAAGATCCAACCCAATAGCAGTACAGCAACATGCTCTCAGTTGAGGAAAGGCCCTAGACATACAAGTTTCACCTTTGGGGATGTTTAATTACAAAACGGGACAACCAAAAAGCAAAAACGCCGTCTTGGGCAAGTGAGAGCTCAAAATAAGGGTTGAATATCAACAGCAAAGCCCATGGACACCAACTGAAGGGGCCCCCAAGTTTCGAGACACATGTAGCCACTGTCAATGTCGTGTCGGCTGACATGGACATTTGGGAAGTAAGCCCTACTTTCCAATGGCAAGTTGGCGTGGACCCAATGCCAACCCCCATATCTCACAACATGATTTGCTCCACCAACGGACACGGAACAAAATGGGTTGTCCCCTGTATATATCCTTCTCCAACAGCAGACTGATAAACATATTGACATTGCTCATAGCATGCTTGTGTGGAACCACTATAACTTCTGCGGCGCAAGCCTGCAATATGTAACTCCACGCCTGCCAACTCCCCAAGCTCTTCTCGGATGATCGAGCAGAGGGATGATAGCGTCCCCTTTTTGCATTCGGCAGGATACGCATCCGGTATGTGTCTGTTTGTATTCCCTCAAACCACCAAAGGGACTTCCCCTGTGCCCTTTTGAACAGGGTTCTTGGTATGTGCCCATCACCTGCTTGAGAATTTCGCTAGAGATCGGCCTTCCGCAAGGGTGGACCAATCGATATGTCCAGGTCTCACTTGGAACTTCCACCCGGCCAACAGGAGTTCACCAGTGGTTGGGAAGTTGGGACTTGCAAAATCAAAGAAACAGCAAAAACAAACCACTGCAAAAGGGTTCGGGGCCCTAGGATTTGTTGATTTGTTGAGGTACACCCCCCCTTTGTGGATTAGAAACAAAAGAGCAAAAAACAACCTGCCCCTTGGTTGTGAGAATAATCCTCTCTGTGATACCAATCCATGATATAAATTCTTTAGCTTGGTATCACAGAAGCTGGCCCCAAAGCCCAAGGATCCACAATCACGTGGTCTTGTGAGGAGCTACCCTGGCTGAGGCTTTTGGAGGGAAGCATCGAGAATCTTCGGGTTCAGCGTTTGTAAGATCCTTTTACACAAACAAATAGCTAATTTCCACTGTATATCCCCCCTCTCCGTTTGCTTTTTTAAGGGGGGCGGCCCTCAAGTTGGCACATTCCGATGCGCCCACGCGCCCCCCTTAAGAACACCCGAGCTGCGTGGGGCTTGCCGCTCTGCGCCAGCGACACGCCGTCCGCGCCCTCCCAGCTCCGCGTCATGAGGCATGCCCGGACCAGCGAGGGGCGTGGGGCAGGTGGTCTTTTTTCGGAGACGGTAAACCTTGTTTGGCCTGAAGGGAATACACATACGAACAACATACTTTTTGTTGGCTGGCTTGAAGGGATTTTTCTTTTTTGGCTGAACGAATCCTTTTTGGTTGGTTTGAGGGGAACTCTTTCTTTTTGGTTGGCTTGTTTCTTTGTTTAAGGTTGGCTAGAAGGGAAGCTAAGAAGAAGCCCAGCCACCCTTTGTGGGGGTTCCCCTACTTTGAGACAACCCCATGGGGGAGCTGCAGAGATGAGTTTCGGTCTTCACCAGTGACTGGGTATTTTGTTGCAGGGATCGCAATGTTTTGAGTCATGGACGGTGATTGAATCCGGCGAATTCAAGTGAGCTGGCCATCCTAGTGTCTGAGTCCTAAACGGGAAATCAAAGGACTGTGCAGTTGGCCGTGCCAGGGACCCCATTGAGTGAAGACCCAGCGATGCTAAATCCGGTCGGTGCACTCGTGATTCAAGCCAAGAGCCTGCGGATGAGTCATCACGCGCCCCTGGGTTCATGATCATTTGATTGGTTCAGACTCCCTTCATGGGCTGCTTGCCGGCTTCGCCGCGCTCGCGCCGCCGAGGCGCTTCTTTTTTTTGCATCTGCCGCGAAAAGCGGGTTGGTGAGGATTCATGAATTGGCAGGAGCTCAGCCCGGAAATGAAGAAAGGCAAAGTTCTAGTGCTACCTTCCCCATTCTTTCCAGGGATCCTTCTTTCTAGAAAACCTCCGGAACACAGGGAAAGGGCCGGTTTTTGAAAAGAACGATGGTTGTAAAGAATGGGGAATCAACCCTTAGAAAAGTGGAGAACAAGTTGCCACCTAACCCTTTCAGCTCCAAGAAACCGTTTCCTTCACTTTGAAGAGCTCTCCAAGAGGGTCCGACTCAATTTGGACACCTTCTCCAGCGCAAAGTCATGGATGCGGCTGTTTTGTGTTTTTTTTACTCCCAGGGCTTTCACATGTTTTGGGTCGGCTTTGAAGGAAAGCAACACAAACATCTGCTTTCACCTTCGTGTTATCCGGGCTGCGCATGCAACTGTGCAAGCGAAGGAGAGATTCTGAGAAGCTTTGTGGCTACATACACGTTTCTAGTAACAATACTACCAATACCATGGGGAGCGAGAACATCTCCTTCTGCCCTGCGGTAAAAAACCAAGCCAGGCATTGCTCTGCATTTGCGACATGACATACCACTTGCAAAGCTCAAAACTCTGCTTCTGTCTATTCGTCACCTTGAGCATGCGTGGCAATGCCTGTGCCCTGTTTGGGCGAGGGCGAGTTGCGTCCGACGCAGCGAATTTGGGGAAGCTGGAAAAGCCTTGGGGCGTGAATACGCCCAGCACTCCCGAGCAACCAGTTGTTCATTTTCCAAGTGTCGCGAGCACAGCGGTACGCAAACCGTGCATTGATGCAGTGGACATTGAACTGGTCTGCATTACGGCATGTCATGCAACATGAACCTGCACAAAGCCTGCTGTCCATATCCAAAAAGTCAACCAAAAGACCATGAGCCAGTTTGTTGGCCCACCTATTTCCAACCAGAAGCCCATGGATGTCTTCATGTCTGACCGCCTGTGTTGTCAACCTACGCATTTTTTTCGGAATTCACCAAGAGGGTCTCGATCTCAGTCTGAGCTGGAGGCAGATGCCCTGCGTGGCATCGCCAGAGAAAACCTTTGCGCCTTGGGGCATGTTCCATTGGGTACCTTCCCACCATTTTCGGATAGAAGCTCACTTTTGGGACCCGGTCCCTTTAAAAGGAAAATGGGCAAAACCAGGAGGCCGTCAGGGTCCAAGTTAATTTCGTGGGAGGGTATGTTGCTCGAGTTGTGGTAGGTTGGACAAATGGCTTGTTTTCGCGAACCCCAACACATTTGTTTGGGCACCTCTGCTGAGGTGCTTCCGCACTGGCCTAGTAGAATCAACACCATTGTGTTGCACTGTTCAAGAGCGTTCGGGTCCTGTTTGTTTTCCTGTTGTAGGAGGGGTTGCTTTCAAGGGAAAGACGTGGCAAGACCTGAGTTTGGCTATTGGGGGGGATAGTGAACTGGCAACCTTGTGGAGGAAGCTCAAGACAGCTTGGGACTTGAGGCGATTTTGCTATATTTTTCTTCCTGGCCGGAGGCCAGACAACAATGGTTACTGATTTCTTCAGCGCCAGCACATAATATCCAGTCACACAAATGTGGGTGTGTTATTTCAGGGCACCGGGGAACCACCGACTTTTTTGGAGCCCCCAACGCGATAAATTCTGCACGAAGGCGCGGATCCCTCCCAATGTTTCATGTTCAGTTGGTGTGGAAGGAACGCCAAAAGCCAGACAGACCGACCGAGATCTTTTTGGCCTCTACGTTTGAGGCAGCTTCTTTGAAAGGGAACCAAACGAAAGCCATTGCTGGAAATGGGCCTCCCACCCCAACTGAGTCATAATCAAAACCCGGTATTAAAATGGTCGACCCAGAACCATGTAAAGAATTTAGAAGGCAGCCGCAGCTATTTCTTGTTGGGGTCGTCCCTTACTAACCTTCATCTACCCGGGTTTTGATTGTGACTCAACGGGAATTTTGAGCGGCCTCAAGAAGCCGCCAGGGACGTTCCCCTTTGGGTTCTCACCCCCATCCCCCACCGCCGCCTGGCGCGGCTAACCACCTCTCCTGACAAAAACAAATCGATGCCGCGCTTAGCGAAATGGGGTTTCCCTTTGCAGGGTTGTGGGGGCTCTCCTGTTGTTTGGGTTGCTTTGAAGGGAATGGTGAACAATTTGAGTCCCGGTGTGGTCCTAGTCCTTTTGGCTTGCTCATGTCAAATGCTAGACTTTCTTGTCAACACGGTTGCAGGATGGCCCTCTGTTCTCCCGCGTAAGGTGAACCCGGGCACTGCGGATGTGGTTCCCTAGATGCTCAAAGGACCAAGGAAAACACGTGCACCCCCACCCCACACACCTGATACACCGCGCATCACACGTATGTTGAAACCCAACCAAGCTGTCACTGAAATCGAGTCGATAGGATTTGCACTACTGGAAGCCACTACCCGCATAAGATATTCAAGTAGTGGTTTCGCAGTGATCATGCACATTACATATATACAGTATATATATATATGGTGCTCCATCTGAAGACTGCTGCAAAAAAAGTAGTGTGTTTGTTGGGGGGAGGGGGAGCATACATATATATAATACATATATACACATACATCCTATGTTCCTATGTTCCGAGGTGGGGGGGGGGGTGGGGGTAGTGGAAATGCTCGAAAATAATTGCCCATATCCCAGTTCGTTATCGTTTGACACATTGACCTATTCTCTTGCCGGCCAAAAGAAAACCACCCGGGTGTCAATTTTCACGGCAGCATAACTTTGTAACATCGAGTTTTCTTTTTCTGCCTGAAAAGAGCGCTTCTGAAAAATGGGATCCCACTTGGCCTGCAGGGTCCACATTTCCTTTCATGGGAACCCAAAGAACCCTTCATTACTCGAAGCTGTCTTATTGCAAAAACCCTCAATCTGCAAGGTCCAAAGAACGCGAAGCTGTCTTGTTGCAAAGACCCTCAATCTGCAAGGTCCAAAGACACCAATTCCTAGTCGCATTTGAGGTCATTTCAGGGCTCAGAAAGCACGCGGCCCATCCACTCCTTGCAGGAACGCACTTCTGGAGGGCGACAGCGCTTCCAGGTCCGGCATGAATGCCTACGGATGCACCCCCAGCATGCCGGGACTATGGTGCACTTGCCTCGTTGCACTCGTTCAAGCAAGATCGTTGACATGTACATGTATATAAGTAGGTCTAGCCATGTATTTGCATAAACAATATGATGCCTACACGCACACACCCGCATGTCAACGTCCATTGTCGCCTGCAATATGGTAGCTGTGCAACACAGACACACACACTTTCACAACCCTTGCAAAGGTGCTTGTCGGCAATGCTGTTTGCAGTAAATATTATGATATCCGCTATGTGTTAACAGCGGTGACATGGATTATCAAGCCAACATGCGGTCTTCGAGAGAGGCATTCATATGCATAGACGCATGTAACTGCATGTATGTATATATATTATAATGTACATAATACATTATTTTTTGTTGTATGGTTGCTGTTGAAAGGTAAAGTCGACAAAGGGGCCGTGACTGGACAACTGGGTTGGATCTTGACGTCACAGTGTCACGCTTTCGCAACATCCTGCAACACTCCCCTCACAGGTGTGGGCAACTCACTGCTAACTGCCCTGCGTGCAGGATAACCCTTTTTAGGCAAAATCAAGGTGGCATTTGCCTGAAAAGCAAAAAACACACACACACACACAATGCTTCCAAAGTGCCCAACAATAATTTCGAATTGGCCATTATAATCCAATACTCACAAACAAAGCGGCCCTTCCTCCCCCAAATGCAGTCGTAGTAGGGCATTCTTAGGGACCCTCAAATCACTCTAAACCACTACTAAATCAGCAACTGCGCAAACCAACAAGCTCGAAGGATTATTACCGTACTCAACCAACAAACATCTGAACAACTCGGCTGATGTCTGCTGTCTTGTTTTGATTACCTTGACATAGCCCAGATCGAACAG